GAGGGGTTTGTGAACAATTGAATCGCTGAACGAATCATATGGGAGTCACTGGGATAATTAGGTAAAAATAAATGCATATTATAAGACAATGAAAGTGTTTTTTTGACCTTGCATGCATGTCAGCCTGTTGTTGGAGCCCTTAAAACCAATATATGACCCTATTTTAATGTATAATAGGGGCTCTTTAAATAGTGCTTAAATGAATTCCTGTGATGCCATATCTGACATTTTCTTCACCATTCAAATATCATTAATGCTAATTTGTTGATCAAGAACAAATTGATCAATTTAATGCATCTTTGTGTATTAAAACATCCATTCAAAAAAATCGACCCGTTTGAATGTTTAGCATGCATTTTGCCTTTGCAAATCTCTAACAGACATGCAAAGCTGCTTATTTAAATGTGTATTCTGACATAAGACATGCCTAAACCTGTTCTTTCCCCTACACACAAAGATATATTACACACACACAGGTGCTAACATAAGGGGGATGTGCTGGACAGAGATGAGCAGGTGAGGAACTGAAGTATTCAAATAAGCTCTGAGTGAGTGTGAGGAAGGAGATAAGAGAACTCTGCACGAAACAACGTCAATCCCATATACAGCAGCTCAACATCCTGCCAGTGTTCATCACTGCACACACACACAAAAGGACTGCTCCAAAGCTGAGGTCACGAGACTGTTGTGACCTTTACTGCCTTCTTAAAACATCAGACAGTCACAACATACGCACATACTTCCTGCAGTTTCGCCTGTCACTGGCATTTCCTTCGGTCATGAGTCACGGCTCAGCAGTCTCTATTATGCGGCATCAACCCAATGATCCTAGAAACTGCAATTATGCCTCTCCTTCTCCTCCTAAGCCTGTCAGAAGATCCTTCATTCTCATTTTCTTTCACGCATTTGGACCTTTTTATGTGCCTAGCAGAAATTTGCTGATTCATTGCAAAGTGAATGAACTAGTAGGAAACAAGCAGGGCTGGCCGATATGACAAATACATTATCTTAGTTTGACTGTTGATCAATTACATTTTAATTGATATATATTCATACATTTTCCTTTGGCTTAGTCCCTGATTTATCAGGGTTTGCCACAGCGGAATAAACCACTTTATATGGATGTAACTCAGCCAGTGGAGATCGCTGATTTTTAAGGTAAACAGACCTTAAATTCACAGATTTTGTAACAACATGCAGTATACCAGAGGCGCTTGACTAGGTTACTGACAAATTAAAAGTTCTTCCTCATACTAACATATTACTCTGGCATAAGTTTTATGCAGCAGATGCCCTTCCAGCCACAACCCAGCACTGGGAAACACCAAAACATTCTCCTATTCACACAAACAGTCACACACTATGGCCAATTTGGTCAATCCAATCCACCTATACCGCATGTCTTTGAACTGTGGGGGAAATCGCAGCATCCAAACGAACACACAAAAAGCCAACTGGCCCAGCCGGGACAGTATTAACCACTAAGCCACCGTGCCACCCTATTTTAAAGATTTTTTTTAAAACTAAAATTAATAAAATTAATTTTAAAAAATTATATCACAAACATCATTTGTAAGTAAGTACGTACGTAATGTATATTTATATAGCGCATTTATTGTGTATGACCATACACCGAAAAGTACTTCACAATCATGAGGAGGGTCTCTCCACACCACCACCAGTGTGTAGTGTACCATTTGGGACGCAGCTATGTCCTCTTGCGCAGGTACAGAACTTGGCTCTTGCTTTTGTTGGCTTTTGTCCATTTAGTGTGTTCACAAGCAGCTTTTAGTCTAGACGCAATCCAACGCAAAGCAAAAACACGGTTGTTTTAAATGGTGCTAGTTGCTTAGCATTGCCTTGGAGTGTCCCAGACCTAAAAGCATGCTGATTGGCTGTTGTTGTATACGCCTGCTGTGTGACTGGCTCGCAGATTAGTCCAAATAGTGTAAAAATGACCAGAGCTTATCATCATTAATAATATAAAGTTATCATGATTCAATATGATATTGTTTACGGGACCAGCCCTAGAAACAAATACAAGCCCTTGTACTTTAGCAAGGTCATACACTGTTCATATGTACAGATGTCATTTATACCTAAAGTCCAAATAAAAGGCTTGCTTCGAAATTATATGTGACAGCATTAGACATGTGCCGATAGCTAACAATTCAATATATCATGATAATGAGCATACTTAATGTGTAATAACATGTTGAAAACTGACTACAAGTGATAATCATTTTATTAAATCTTTATAATCTTTTTGCAATTAATTTATTTGAAATAAAAAATGGAATAATACCAGTTAAAGTAACTTTTTTTTGCAACCTAGGTCAATATTGTAATAATATTTTATGATATAAATGTCAGCAATTAAATTGCAAAATGAAAATTGGATACCATCATAATCCTAGACAGCATGTGTTAAAATGAACTTGTGTGTAGCAAAGTGAAATACACTGTTTGAGTGTTAATGAGCTTTTCTTCTTCTTTCCTCTCAACGCCATCCTTGTGCTGCTGGCCAAAACCACAGCTGTCCCTCTCTAAACCTCAGTGCCTCCAACTCTTTCACAGACCGTCTGTTAGTCTCCATCAATGATTGTCTGTTTACTTCTCCCCTGATTTTGGCATCCTCTTTTTTTAAGTTCAGGTTTTTTAAATTTTAAGTGCCATCGTTCCCAGTGTCAAAATGACTCATCATGAAATGAGAATGTTTCAGTTCCAGTAATTTACTAGTCAAGAATTACACAAACACATACACTCACTAAGCTTAAAAAATGATTTTGTTCCTTCATGTTTTACCCTTCCAGTCAGTAATTGTGTTTTCTCCAGCCTTTTATTATCCACAGCTATTTAACCAAGCCACATCTGTAACGTTAGTACTAAAGCATTTCTTCATCTAGTCTTTTGAAATACTACACACTCAAATCCAGGCAAACTAAACACTCACTGTGAGGAAAGTGAGAATCTAATATCTTGATTGCTTCTTTCTATGGCAATTTGCCATGCCAACTCCTTCCATGCCGAGACTGGTCTCACTTCCAAAAATTCAAGTAGTTTTAAATGAAAAGGATTAAGACTCTCGAGGGATTGCCACGTCATGCATTATTGTTAACTTTAAAGCTAAAAAAAATTGGAAAAGCGGATTTAACATGCTGACATGGGTCTTGGATGGTGTGAGGAAGCAAGTATATGTTCATACGTGGCTGTGTTGTTTATAGACTCTGAGAGGGTATAGGCGACTTGAGAAGTATGCCAAACCACATGTTCATTTTTTTATAGAAGCACCGAAGGTTCCTTCCAAATATAGGTTTATGGTAAATCTCATAACTCTTTTCTGACTTCCTGTAAAAGAAGCTTTCAAAATGATTACTTTAGTATATTGTTAAATAGTCTTTGGTGCTCATTTGTATATTTACTAACACTGACAAACAACGACTTTAACATTAGTGCGTTTTCATTTTAAAACAGCATTTTACAATGAAAATGCTCCTAGTCTAGAGTAACGTTTTTATTGTGTTTCCGAAACGTGAGCTGTATCCACACTATACAGCCTAAAATCTATATATGACAAGTGTGAGGTTTACGAGCCAGGAAGGCTCGTAGTGGGTTCTCAAAGGATATAAAAAAAATGAGAAAACGTCAAAATGATGGCACAACTCGCTGATATAATGTGTAAAGTGATGGTTTATTTACAGTGTACGAGAGTGAAACCCAAAACCCAGCAAAGTAGCAAAACAAACAAAAATAAAAGAACAAATAAACAACAAACATTTTTTAGATGCAATAAAACTGTAAATGCTATCTGAAGTTTTCCTCTAAAATGTATCAAGCTCCTGTGTGTATGTTCAGTAATATCACTTTTATGGCAAAGAATAAGTCCTTTTCGTGGCCTTTAAAGTAAAATATCTCAACATCAACAAAGGAGGCTGAGAAAAATGTTAATTTTTAATTGCACGTAGAGGTTTTTGCATCTGAACTCTTCATATAATGGTTTGAATAGCCTTGCCTCAGTTTTCAAAAGTTTGCGTTTGTTTTTTATTTGTGTATTTACATCTGAAAGACAAATCGGCAGTGCATCTATATGACGATTCCTGTCAGATGTTAAAAAGAAAATATTTTAAAAGATGTTTATAATTTAAAACATTTTTCTGATCATTGAACATCAATGAACACATCATTGAACAGATTATTGAACATTGAAGAAATGTTCCTGCTTGAAAAATATTTATGTCGTGCAGTAGGCCTATACTACTAGCTATCTGGGGAGTAGCTACTTCACAAATTAACAATTTACAGTAAATTCAATAAAATCATTGAGGGTAGCTTACATGAATTCAGCTAGTTCACACATCAGTTAATTTATAGTGTGGGTCAAATATGACTTTATGGAATCCTGTCTGAAATACAGATTTATAGCAGTTATGTAGGCCTAGAAGTAGGCATACACACATTTTGTTTATTTGTGTGTTTGTTTGCTTGCTTGTCAACCTAATGGTAGAACTATGTAGCTTGCACAGGATGGATGTGTCCCTGAGCAAATCTTTATTAAATCTAATAAATTAAAACCCCAGTGCTTGAGTTACAAGGGGAAACCCCTTAATTTCGTGCTTTAATTCGTAGTCAATCTCCTTGTCACTCAACTGTACAAATTTATTTAGCAGCGAACAAGGCGTACTTTGGATGACGTCACCGAGATTGCGCGAAGGTATATAAAGTAATAGGCTACAACGTAATAATTAAAGCGCTCTCCCTTTAACGCTTAAAGTGTCTGTAAATAGAATGTGGGTCAGTTGCAGATTGGCGCTTAAACACAATTGCATTCTCCTCTTCGCTTGTAATATTACGGTGACTGCGATAACTGAGCATTGCATTGTCTATCTATAATAATTAATATTGAATAGATTGACTTGTTGATGTTTTTGTTTAGTTTATAAACTACCTCAAACTAACCTTCTGGACTTATTTTTAGCAAAGCGTCTGTAAACGACTCTTACCTCGCAGTCGTAGAGATCCGTTAGCTGGTCAATAATCCACTCTTCCAAATTAAGTCTTTTTCTCAGTTCTTTCCGGTCATATTTCACTGTGACCCGTCCTTGCTTGCGGACCGGGGTCTCGGTTTCTTCAGTTGATCCGGTGGGCGTCTGGAAGTAAACGCGAGCTTGCTGGCTCGATTCTGGACTTGTTACCGCCGCCATAGTCCGCAATGATGTAAATAACCGGCTGGTACAGTAGATCTGGTTTTCTTCCCCGTATTTGTTTAGCTGTGTGATTTAAAAAGGCCACTAATGGAGATGTTATTCTAGCTTTCTCGCAGAGCTCAATGACATCTGGCAACTCTTTGATAATATAAATAAAGTCACATAAAACTACTTCCAGTTTTGATTATTTGTTACGCTGAGTCTTGTCTCAAATTGTCGAGTCGCTAAAAAGCACTTACAGGACTGCAAACCGCGTGTCTCTTTTTTCTTTACAAAGTAGCTAGAACAGCAACAAATGCTCTGATCACTTAAAATAACTGCGTGCCCCTCGTAGCCTACTATCTAGAACTTAAGTAAAGATGGAAGCCGTTAGCAATGATTTATCCTTTAACTTAAAGAGAACCGGTACTTTTTTTGCAATTCAAAGCAATAAAACGAAAACAAACAGTGCAGTGTCCCCCTTCTTTTTTGTCCTTCCTTTCCCCCTCCTCTCTCTTCCTACTCTGCTTCCCTCACACGAGTTGTGTATGTGTAACCCCCTTTGAGCAACGGCTGTCCTTTCTCTCCCTCCCTCTCTGTCAGTCTCTCTCCCTCTCCCTCCCTTGTCTCTAACGCTGACTAATAAGTTCACCCAACCCTCTCTTCAGGCTAAATACATGTAGATAATCCTGTTATTTCAACTGTGATGTTAAAATGAGTGAGGAATAAAAACAAAAGGATTCCTTGATGGCAACATATATAGGTGTGACATATTTGAACTTTAGGTCTGCTTTATTTTATCTAGCCTATTCATCAGTATTTTAGTCTATTGTTTTATTGATTAGGAAATGAAAGTGTATAAAGGGGATCAAAAATGGCAGATCCTATACAGCAAATTGCAAATCATAAAATTTTATTTGTGTAAACACACACACACACACATACACTGTTCCCAAGTTTAACCCTTATGTTGGACACGTATCAATTTCCATAAACAAAGTGTGTTTTTAATACTTTTTTTTTTTAATTAAAGAGTCTTAATAGGGGGTTCACCCAAAAATGAAAATTCCATTCCTCTTTGTGATTTCAAACCTTTATAAGTTTCCTTCTTTTGTTAAAAACAACTCAAATAGGGTTTGAACAAGTGAAGGGTAAGTAAATAATGACAGAATTAGAATTTTTGTGTGAACTATTCCTTTGTACAATATATTCACAGTGTATTACCTTCTCATTACAGGCCTGCTGATTAGTTACTCACATATTCATAAAACACACCAACATGTTTGCACAGCTGAAAAAAAAAAATTCACTATTTTTTGTTATTTACTATTTTTTGTTAGGTGTAAAAAATATTTTTGGCTGTATTTAAACAAACAAAGCTGAACATTTCTAATTTTAATTAGTTTAATTAAATTTAACACATTGAGTAAGCTAAATTGACTGTAGTGTATGTGTGTGAATGAGTGTGGATGTTTCCCAGTGATAGGTTGCAGCTTGAAAGGCATCCACTGCGTAAAACATATGCTGAATAAGTTGGTGGTTCATTCTGCTGTGGCGACCCCTGATTAATAAAGGGGCTGAAAAAAATTAATGAAATTCAACACATCACATATATGACACAGAATTATTAGCCTTCCATTGACTTTTATTTATTTTTTTTATATTTCACAAGTGATGTTTAACAGAGCAAGGAAATTTTCACAGTAGGCCTATGTCTGATAATATTTTTTTTTCTGGAGAAAGTCTTGTTTTTTTTTTATTTCGGCTAGAATAAAAGCAGTTTTTGGTTGTTTTTGAAAGCCATTTTAAGGTCAAAATAATTAGCACCTTTAAGCTATATATTTTTTCGTTTTCGATAGTCTACAGAACAAACCATTGTTATACAATGATTTGCCTAATTACTCTAACCTGCCTAGTTAACCAAATTAACCTAGTTAAGCCTTTAAATGTCACTTTAAGCTGTATAGAAGTTTCTTGAAAAATATCTAGTCAAATATTATTTACTGTCATCATGACAAAGATAAAAATAAATCAATTATTAGAGATGAGTTATTAAAACTGTTATGTTTAGAAATGTGCTAAAAAAATCTTCTTTCCATTAAACAGAAGTTGAGGAAAAAATAAATAGGGGGCTAATCATTCTGACTTCAACTGTAAATTGTTTGCAACAATTTTGAAAACATAATTTTTTCAGTGTAGAGGGAATGATGAAACCATAAACAGGAAACCGTCTACCAACAGTCTACCCAGAGTATACATTTAGAGTCAAAAGGCATAACTGCAGAACATGCTCATGATAAACAGAACATGGTTATCCATTGGTATAGCTGCTAATATAATTACTTTTAAAGTTATTGTTAATTATGTGAGCAGGGCATAATACTCCAGACAAATCTGTCTTTTAGAAAATGCTGCTTTAGTCCATGTGGAAAGGGTCGCCCCCTCATGGTATTTGCCATTAATGTCACACGAACAGCTACTAATGGATATTAATAATGAACTGGCATGAATATCATTGAGTTCATTGCACTCAATTAACCCAACACTGTAAAAATCTAAAAAGTTAGGGTAACTCAAACTGTCTTATGAGACTTATTGCATAAACTACTTAAGTTAAAAAATTAATCCTAATGAATACTGTGAACCTTATCCATTTGAGTAAATGAAGCAATTTGAGCACAGTAAAACCCAATAAATAAACTCAACTCAAACCAACTGAATACTCTAAAACCCAATAAGTTAAGTCAACTCAAATCGTTTGAAGAAACCGATTGCAACAAACCATTTGAGTTAAAAACTAATCTATATGAGTACTGTGAACTTACTCCATTTAAGTTGAAGTAAAAAGATATTTAATTAACTCGTTACCTTCAAGCTGAGTTCAAAACTTTTGAGACGAGTAGAATCAACTTTTAGTCAGTTTTGAGTAAACTTCACTATTGTCATTTGACAAGTTGACTTAGGTTTTACAGCGAAGAATGTGTGGCGTGAGAAAACAAATATAGGATCAAAATATAATCAGATTTATTCTAAATAAGTTATACAGTATCTAAACAACTTTATGCATCACTCTAACACTGCCACCTTACAGAGCAAATAACAGTCAGTTCATTTAACATTAAGAATAAACTGGACAAAGCACCATACAGTTTTCCACCATAAACATGTATGAAAGTTAGTATTCAATTATGGCATTAAACTTCATCCAAAATTGAGTGTACCTTTGAGAACAAAGGTCATTCTTGTATAAATCATTAACAAACAAACAAATATTAATATTAATATATAATATTTACAAAAATTAAATACAAATAAGAAGGGAATATTGCTAGAATGCTCCAGGCTGATTATAGAGGCCACGGAACATTTCTACCTCTACAGTGGTGTTTTACAAGTGGCATGAAGACAATGAATTATTCATAAAGCTATGTCTGGATCTTACAGTTCAGTAAATTCACTGCATGCTGCAATATAGTCAGTTGCATGTTTTCACGTACTCAGACATGCACAAGTATTTGAATATTATACATTATTGCTGATTATTGTTTTGTTGTTTTTATAATTAATCTAGATATACATTTGTTTGTCTTGCAGTCCTGCTATGATCTCAAAGTATTATTTTATAAATGTTCATAATTGTTAGTTTTGTGAATCTGTTTAAGTGGCTTTTTTCTGTTGAACAAAATTGAAGATATTTTGAAGAGTGTAAAACCAATAACCATTGACCTCTAGTAATATATTCTTTTGTGTTCAACAATAGAAAAAAAAAAACACAAAAAGGTAGGGTGAGTAAAATTATTATTTTTTTCTGATGACTTGTTTCTATTTCATGTGTGAACTTGTGATAATCTCTTAAGATGATGTAATGCTATATTCAGACGGCCCAAGAACACAAAAAATCATGTCAGATCTGGCTCATGAAATAATTGTGTTAATTTTGAGATGTGGATGCATCAGATGAGTCATTTTATGGACCGGACAAAACAATTGAGTAAAATTACAGTTTAATAATTATTAATGTTTTTGTCAGGATTCTGAATTTATTGACATACTTAACTGCATATTTACATTCTCAAAGTTCTTGAAAATAATTCATAATTCAATCATTTTTTATTGTAAAATAGTGATGTATTTTATTGTCAAATCCTACTGAGTAGCAGTGGTGGAAAGAGTCCTGAAAAGTCATACTCAAGTAAAAGTACCATTATTTACACAAAAAAATGTAGTGCAAGAAGAGTAAAAGTATCTGGTGAATAATACTCAACGTAGTAATGAGTATTACGCTGTGAAAGGCTGGTGCGTTTACATGCAATTTGTGGATGTGTGTGTAAACGTAACATTATGTAGTGCATTCAATTACTGTTTAAAGACATTTGGCAATTTCAGTCATCATACAGTAAACATCATTCTTCTCAGTACAGTACAGTCTCTGCATGTAAAGATTTTGGAAATTTTTGGCAATTTACTTTCTATGTGCGATTTGACTGGACAGGAATCAAAGGACTATTTTTCTACTTAACTTTTCTACTATCCCCATAGACAAAAAAAAAAGTGACCGCAGGTTGGAGGAAAAAGTGGAGTAAAAGTACCAACAAATGTACTTAAGAGAAAGTAAAATACACGTTTAAAAGTACTTAATTACAATTACAGAGAATAACTACTCAAAGTAATTTAAGTATTTGTAATGTGTTACTTTACACCACTGCTGAGTAGTGGCGCTCTCAAATCACATTCATGGACTAAATTCTTACCCTTACATCTCAAACTGCAAAACCAACACAAATAAAGACATTAATCTCCTTGGTGTGAATTAACAAGTAGAGATTTTTTTCTCAGTGATGCTACTGCTGCCACCTGCCTGAAGTGAATGGCTGCCTCACAACAAACAATAAATTTAGAGCATTGGCAGGAGACTGTTTGGCAAACTGAAAACAACCTATATTAGGGGTATAACAGCAGAGAGCCAGTGAGATAGGAATCTGCAGAGAAATAGAGCGAGTGAGGATGCCACAGTGGGTGGGAAGAGGAAACAAAAGCGCCATTTTGATGAGAGATTAGTTTGATTAGTCCACAGCTGTGGCCATTGAAAGAAACCGAAGGAATGACGAGGAAACCGATGCATTAACACAGCTGTAATGATCACAATTTGTTAAAAAAAAAAAAATAATAAAAAATAAATAAATAAATTCAGGCCTTCGTGACCTTCTTATTTCTTTATTTACTGGACCAAGATAAATATTAGATTTTTATATCAGTTTTTTTTTCCCACTTGTTTGTGTATATAGCAATTTTACAACATTGTTTTATATCTCCGTATAGCCTCCCTATATCGAGTCCCTGGCTCCCTGATTGAGAAACTTTTTTATTATTATTATTTATTAATTTAAAAAAAAAATGTTGATTATAAAACTGGTTCGATTCCAGAGAAAGCGATCACTGATAAAAATGTGTACCTTAACCGTAATGCAAGTCGCTTTGAAAGAAAGAATCTGCTAAATCTACAAGCCTATAAACAAAAGTCCACGTCCCTGTCTTTGGAACACACTCTTCTTCCCCAATACCATTTCAGAGCGAATGTCACACCGCTAGATGGCAACAGTGGACTGTTTGTTTGAGAAGACCTTGAGTCAGCCCTGCCTGAGGTTTAACAAAGAAGCTTTTGAGGAGATTTCAGAGCTTTTGGCACACATTTCTGCTATCTAAAAAGTAATGTGATCAGCCTTTGCTGCTACTGTAGACTGTGTCAGGGATTTCTCATTAGGTAAAACAGGGAGAAAAACACAGTGAGCAAAGAATAAAGGAGGAACTTTGTAGAAAGTTCAGATGGCATCTTTAAATGGCACATGTATTAATCAAATACGTTCTGGATAAGGTTATGTGTGTACAGTATGCTAACTTGTCTCTGGGCTAAAATACAATATGTCTTTGTGAGTGCTCGGCTTTCAGTCGAAAATAGTCTCTGATTAGAGTGACTGGACCACTTACTTATCAAAGTTTCAGTTATCTCTTCTCTCTTGACCTTATATTGTCATCTTTCTCTTTCTGCCGTGGTTATTATTCTTCATCAAACTCTCTGTTCCAGCTTTACAAAGCTACATGCCCTCCTGGGTCTACAAATCTCATTCTTCACAGTCGAGGTTGTAAGACACATTGAGAGCAGAGGCCCTGGGCCTGACATTGAAAATATGTGACTGTGTGTGGTGTCCCAAAAAGTAATAAAAGGTTGAGAACATTTGCAAGGTGCATCTTTGAAAGGTCAATGTTGGACTGTTTTTCTTCAATCTAATGCTCTCATGAGAATATAGTTTCTCTGGTGTATATATTCTTCTGGGAAGAGGACACCTGTTCAGGAATGAGGCGGAGAGGAAGAGGGAGGTAAGGGGGGCTGTATTAATGGGTGCTGACAAGCTGGAAACTTCCAGTACTGTATATGCAGCAAAAACACAGAAGGAATATCTGATGACACGAATGCGTTTCACCTGACTCATTTTGTTTTCAAAATATTTGAACATATCTGTGTTAAAGTTGGTTCTTTTAGTTTCATATTTACTAGAACTTGAAGCATTGACATATTAAGAACATGTTCACCCTTTTATTTGGATTCATTAATAATTTTCACATTTTTACAACTAACTTACAGACATGTGGGCAGTTACTTTATGCTTGTTTTCCACCTGTGTAAATTACGCCTAAAGATTCAAGGCTGTATCTGTAAACACCACCATCTCTTTACTCAAAATCCATCGAAATCTGGAAATAATTATACTATTTCCCTAAATTTAAAAAAAAAGCTACTTCTTTGTCACCAGACAAACTGAAAGCTGGACAGAAGAATCAAACATGAGTGTAGCAGAATAACCAAGACTGACACTTTGGTAATTACTGATGCCTTATTCCAGGTTTTCCATTTCTTCTCTTGTGACAGAAATCGAATTTCTGTTTCACGACTGTTTGTGGTTAACACATACACATTGTTCGACATGATGTTGTCTTTGCTTTGTGACCTACCAGTAGACCTATACAATGCATAAATACCATTAATTTATACACAGGCTACTGCCATTTGGTTTTTACAGTGTACACCCCTTACAAATCTAACTAGAATATTATATTTGTGCATATACATGAGATTAGTCAGTACTGAAGCCAAATCTGGAGCTTATCTGATAAAATAATTAACGACAACGCTCCAAAAACTAGTACAGTATGTTATCAAAAAATATTAAATTCAAAAATTAAAATGAGGAAAAATCAAGAGAAGCAAAAACATTGAACATTTTAGTTGAAGTTTTGTAAGTTGTAATTTATTTTGCAATATTTTGCTTGAATTTAATTGTATTATCTTTCAATTTCTAAATATGTTTGGTGACTAAAATAATACTTTTAATAAATATACCTGTTTATTAAATCTGTTTTGTTTAAATGCAACAAAATACATTGCTATATTCACTGAGAGATAAAGAAACATACTCATTTTCAAAATGGGGTGTACTCAGTTATGCTTAGCACTGTACATGCTGCATAATAACAAGTGAAAATGGTCGTGGCGTTGTTACACAAAATTTGAGCACACTGATCAAAAAACTTAAAAGTTTAAATTCATTATTAAGTATTTATAACTCAAGTAAGTTTTAACTTTGTAAAGAAATGTGAGGAATTGGGTTTTGCTTTTACTATGACTCATATTAAGTGTAGGTATAAGATGTAGATATTATTACTGTGTTTTGTTTATGCGTATGCAGTTTTTTATTCATAAGAATTCAAGTGCATTGGCTCACGCCGCGATCCGTGTTTAACATTCTTGGAAAGAGGAAAAGGCGCTTAAATAGAGGGGAAACATGTCCAACAGGACAGCGAAAGCTATGGTTGTTCATGTCAGATACACATCCTAACAGCAATATACTTCTAAAAGAGTAAAATGACAATGGAATGACAGAAGAAAAGAAAAGAAAAGCACTTCCTCGTCTGTTCACTTTTTCTTCCTTCACTTCCTTACTCCCCCCGTCGCTCTCTCCCTCTCTCTCTCCGTCTTTCTCGCGCTCCCATTTAGTTCGGAGAAAACATGAAGGAAAAGAGGAGCAAATTCCAGCGGGGACCAAAGCCAAGTGAAAGTTTCTCCTGAGCTGGGATCTCATCATTACTGAGCGGATGGACGGACAGGAAGGAAAATATCAATTCAAGTCCTTGCCGTGATAAGCGCTTAGATGAACAAACAATCGCCAAAGTCTTAAAGTGCGCCCGCTCGTGAATGTGTGACAGTCGCGTCCGCGTGTGTTGACCCAGGCGGACTCGAGGCGTTGGGTCAAGCTCTGGTTCCGTTGTTACACTGAAGGTCAGAAACTTCCAACCGAGAAGCTGAGGCGTCGCCACCCGTCGATTCAGCAGCCATGGCCGGGGCGAAACCGGGAGTTCACGCGTTGCAGCTCAAACCGGTGTCTGTCAATGAGGTCCTCAAACGGGGGAGCAAGTTTATCAAATGGGACGAGGTAAGAAGATCGCGTCCGTCTGTGATTGTTATGTGGCGTGATACTTGATCTGTGTTACACGTTGAAGTCATTTACAGTCAAACATCTGACACCCAGGACAGAGCTGGAGTTCAGCGCTGTTCCAAGTTTCGACTTCTTGTGCTCTGTTGATAAACACTCGACTTGTGTTTTATGTTTGCTGTTGTTTTCCCTTCATGGAACGACTTTTGAGTTGTGTAAATATTGGTTTATAATGGGGAAAACTGCCCGTTTTAAAGATACTATTTGTAAGAGCATGACATTCACGATTCGTGTCGCATATGGAACTTAACCCTTGCTAGGCTGATCTGTAGATCTGTTTTGGCAGATCATAAACACTGTTATTCAGGCCTGATTATCAGAAACATGATAATCATGACTCATGAAACCATGTTTGAGTTCGTGGCATTACTGTGTATTTTAGGGACATTAAAAGGAAAATGTAGGCTATTATCACTTTTTTTTACAAGCCATACAGTATTTGATTCTCTTAATACTAAATACTTAATACTAAAAATCCCAAATTATTTTCAAATTGTAATGCAAATAAGCAACACTAATTTACATTTATTAATATATCAAATCATTTTATTTGAGCCAAGTTGAAGGCTTGTAATCTATTAATTACTAGGGCCCGACGGAATCTGCGGACCTTTTTTGCTATTTCTACACAGAATTTTGATTAAAAAGTCTGTGGATTTATGCGGAATGATTATGGGAGTATCATAACTAAAAACTTTATATATGAAATAAAAAAATAATACCTTTTTAACTAGTATTCAACATTCACAATGCAAATCCAATTACATCCACTTTATTTGGTAAACAAAATAAGTCTTGTATGATATATCTACTAAAAGACAGAAACTATTACTTTACAAACTGTATTGTAAATGCATCATATTATTATTTTCTTATTAGTCAATACTATTACTGAAATTAATAAAAAAAATGAATAAAGATGAATTTCCACACATTTACACGAGTAAATAAACAGAATCAATGATCGGCTAAAAATCTGCGGAATTCTGCGCACGCAGATTCCATGTGGGCCCAATCATGAGTTCATTTTCCTATGTTCACTTGCATAAAGGAAGACTTCCAGACTATTTCTACGAGAATGCTTACTGTAAGTCATCCACTTCCCAATTTTTAATGTAAGATGTCCCTGTTCTGTACAATTTTTGGAACACATCACTAATGCTTCTATAACAATAAATTAGAAATTAATAATGCATAAGATTTAGCATAAGTTATTAAATGTATTATATTGAGAGATTGAAATGTAGTACAATGTAGTTAGATAATTAATAGATCATTAGATTTATTTCTTACAAGCAAAATTTTTAATGTAGACATCTCCAAAAATATGTCAGTTGATGACTGTTGTGCTATTTTCCTTTGCTAAAAAAAAATCCCCCTTAAGTATTTGTTTAAAGGGTTAATGCCAACATAAACCCATATGTTTACAAGAAATCACCTCCTCTTCTGAATTCTTTCGTGTAGTTGCTCTCCTGGCAACAAGGGCCTGTGTATGTGTTACGGGATCATGTTTCAAATCTTGCATCGGATAGCCATTACAGTTGTAATTATGTTGAAGGATTAGGGGGGAGAAAATCTTCGCCTCTTTTCCATTATTAGATCAAATCACTGAGTGGCGCTTTAGCTGATCCCCACTGCTAACTGGAGTTTAAAAAGCCAACACCTTTTGATAAGAGCACGTTGAGTAAGGAGAAAGTGGGCTTGTACAACCTGATGCACTTCATGTCTTAAAAGTCATTAATAATTAACTTAAGCAGGCCATAAATGCTGAGTGGTTTGTGTTGAGTTAGTCCTACTTAGACCTGGCTGCTCCAGGTGTGTGTGTGCAAGTGAGAGACCGAGGTCAAAGTAAACCTTCTGTATAATAGATCTGTTCCTATTGTTGTAGGTAGAAAGTGCCATTTAATTTGGTGTGTATATGTGTGCATTCGTTGGCAGATAAGTCTTAATCTTTAAAGGCATCCATAAATAAATAATTAGCTGTATTTAACTGTAATGGGGTTTCCTAATGGGTCCTTAACTGAGGTCATTTCTATAGTTAAGGATAAAAATGTCCATTTGCCAGAAAGCTAGTTTAACTTTACGTTGTCTTATGGTTATCCTTCCTACCCTTCCCATTTTTGGTTATGCAAAGCATTAAGAATTACAAATGTAACCCTTTCTGCATAACCTATGAGGGTTTATTCAGCCTTGAAGGTAATTTTTTCAGCTAAAATAAAGCTTGGCAACAGAAGCACTACAGCCTAACACCTGTAGTAGCGTAGCTGTAGTTTTGCATAAGCAGAGATAATTGTATGTTGTTGTGATGGGTTTGCAAAGTCCTTAGATTGACTTATCCAATCACATTAGACATTTGTTTGTGCTTTCCCTAATATGTGCACTTATTAAATAATAAACTGATGATGGAATTTTCAAAGTGTTATTCAAACAGATTTATTCAATATAAAACATCAGATTAAAGTATAATAATAGCATTGATCTTTAAATAGCAGACACAGATAAAAGCTTTTAAGCAGTGCAAGCAAACTCAAAATATGTAATTGTCATGCCGGAGCTTGTACTCTTAGTGACAATGTGGATTGTTTTGTGAAGTTATGGCCTGATGTGTGTTTTGGTTCCCTTTCATGCCAGGCATACTTCAAGTACTGTATTGTTGTCTCACTGGTGATGCGCACTGAGGAAAATAAAAACAGCAGGACTTTTTTTTTTTTTTGACATTTACTTTTTGCTCGGTGCCAGACATCCATTAGAAAGAGGTTGATGAAACAGCACTTCTCTCTTAATCTCTTCTTCTTTACCAGCCTAGTTTGTGTGCTGTTAAAATCTCTTTTTTCCCTAAAGGAAACTTTAGTCAAACATTGTGGCAACAGATGAGATTTAATAATCCTCAATGCATTATCTAATTCTCAGAATGAACCGGTGTGAGTTAGACTATAAAATGTAATGCTCTGTTACACCTGAAGACATTCAGTGGACCATTTCTCAAACCCGTCTAGTCTGGGATTGAAAGCCGTCTTGGATAGGATCCCAATTGATCATGGAATGGACTGTGGCTAAACTTAATCTCTCCATCAAGACCTCTGCCACTGGCTTTATACACACTGCAGCTAAATACAGTCATAAGTCATTTTCTTGGTGATCAATCTCACTGTGTACACTCAGAGTTTGGTTATTTGTGAGAGATTCTATTGTAGTGCTGCTATAGTAAATTTAACTTAAAAGAATATGGGTGGGGCAAATATATTTTTATTAAATGCATATTCTTTACCTGAATAACTTTTTTTCACCTAAAACTATTATCGTGACATTAATAATATTATTATGTATATATATATATATATATATATATATATATATATATATATATATATATATATATATATATATATAAAAAGAACGTAAAAAGACCGCGATCTTGATTCGACCCCTAGACAATCTTAATCCAGAATTTCTAGGATTCCGTCAATCATATTTTCAGGAGAGAAGCAATGGTTGCCACACAAGTCTTCTCATTGTTTTACGTACATTGTTCAGCAACATGGACACCTCCAAATGGTGTTTAAAGAGTCACATGCTGTATTTTAAGATATAATTCATCTAAAAATGTCATTTCTGTCTTCATGTGATGCGACCGCAAAATCACACGTGACTAAGTTACCGTCAGCTGTTACCACATGGAGGGCAGGCGCACGCCTTTGAATGAAGTTTACATTACAGTTTACAGAACCTGCATAGGCTGTGAATAAAGTTGTTCCAAAAACCCACCGAAATGCAAAAATACCCACCCAGTCTTCTGTATTCACGAAAATCACGTCAGTGACAGATTTTAAGCAGAAAATTTCATATTGTAAGCATAAGTCTCAAACACAATAACTCAACATCAGAATTATTATCAGCATTAATGACCTGGACAAATCTAAAGTCTGTTCCAGTCCACCATTCCAAGTCTATACAAAATTTAGCATTTTAACCAACAGTACAACTACACAAAGCCTATTGCGGTTTTACCACAGAATAACAATAATAATAGCCCACTGATATAAACCTTTATTTTATATCTACAGAATCGTGAGAAAATCGTGATCTTAATTTTAGGCAAAAAAAAAAAAAATCGCTATTCTCATTTTAGCTAGAATCATGCAGCTCTAATAGATAGATAGATAATTCTTGTTTATCCATTTTGCTCTTGTTTTGTATCTGTTACTCTAAATGTTAAACAGACTTTTATTTTAGTTTTCTTTACAGCCATATTTAGTCATATTTTCCCTTTCATTCAATGGTTCTCTAAGCATTCATTTAATTAATTGATTGAAAAAGGCACAGTAAAGGTGTTTATAATGTTGCAAAATATTCTTATTTAAATGCAGATTTTTTAAATAAACCATTTATCCCTCAAATAATCTTATATATAATATATTATATTTAAAAAAATGTTTCTATTTGTAATTTCTAAATTTATATATATATATATATATATATATATATATATATATATATATATATATATATATATATATATATATATATATATTTTTTTTTTTTATTTACAGGAAATAAAACGAGCTTTTTACAAAATATAATAAGACAACATACAAGAGGCATATATATATATACACACACACACACACACACACACACACACACACATACATATCTATATATCTATATATATATATATATATATATATATATAGCTTATTAGAGTCACTGCTTATCAGAGTCACTGCTAAAGGGTCTTTTGATATTGACAGTTTGTTTAATGGCTGCTGAAAATTAAGAATTTCTACTTACTGTACTTACTCCCACGGCTGTTTATATTGAAGTTGATTTTTAGCCGCACCATGTTGGTGTTTCATAACGTTACATTTTTTACGAGGTGGATTGTTAGTCTAATGCTCAACCCCCAACCTGCAGGACCAGCACATACACACACACATATG